ATGGCCCAGCAATACGACCATTAGGACTATACCGGATCACGCGAAAGTCTCAATGGCCCAGCAATACGACAATTAGGACTATACAGGATTACGCTAACGTCTCAATGGCCTAGCAATACGACCATTAGGACTATACAGGATCACGCGAAAGACTCAATGGCCCAGCAATACGACCATTAGGACTATACAGGATCACGTGAACGTCTCAATGGCCCAGCAATACGACCATTAGGACTATACCGGATCACGCGAACGTCTCAATGGCCCAGCAATACGACAATTAGGACTATACAGGATTACGCGAAAGTCTCCATGGCCCAGCAATACGACCATTAGGACTATACCGGATCACGCGAAAGTCTCCATGGCCCAGCAATACGACAATTAGGACTATACAGGATTACGCTAACGTCTCAATGGCCTAGCAATACGACCATTAGGACTATACAGGATCACGTGAACGTCTCAATGGCCCAGCAATACGACCATTAGGACTATACAGGATCACGCGAAAGTCTCAATGGCCCGGCAATACGACAATTAGGACTATACAGGATCACACGGAAGTCTTAATGGCCCAGCAATTCGACCATTAGGACTATACCGGATCACGCGAAAGTCTCCATGGCCCAGCAATACGACAAATAGGACTATACAGGATTACGCGAACGTCTCAATGGCCCAGCAATACGACCATTAGGACTATACCGGATCACGCGCAAGTCTCCATGGCCCAGCAATACGACAATTAGAACTATACAGGATTACGCGAACGTCTCAATGGCCAAGCAATACGACCATTAGGACTATACAGGATCACGCGAAAGTCTCATTGGCCCAGCAATACGACAATTAGGACTATATGGGATCACACGGAAGTCTTAATGGCCCAGCAATACGACCATTAGGACTATACCGGATCACGCGAAAGTCTCCATGGCCCAGCAATACGACAATTAGAACTATACAGGATTACGCGAACGTCTCAATGGCCCAGCAATAAGACCATTAGGACTATACAGGATCACGCGAAAGACTCATTGGCCCAGCAATACGACAATTAGGACTATACAGGATCACACGGAAGTCTTAATGGCCCATCAATCGACAGGGAAAAACAAAAAACGACCGACGGGCTGGGAAAATATATATATGGATATACAGTGTATAAAGATTAAGGAAAAAGGTTAAAACGGAAACAATGTTTAGGGTTGTTGGTTGAACAGTTTACGGGGAAAAGTGGTCATTCGATTTAAGCACAGGCTCTTGCAGTTATATAAGTCACGAAACCTTTAATGTAACCGATCTCAAGGTCATTATTACAGGGCATGGATATGTTTTTCTTATAAAAGTTTATCAATTAAATAATAACAAATTATTGTGATTCATAGTACACGTGATTAGAAAATGTTTTGTTAATTTATGTATCATAATCAATTTTTGATCGGTGATCGGATTTTTATATCATAAATCACGTCCCGCTGTTCTGTACTTTATCACATTTGTCTATAAGCTGTCAATATATCAATGACGTTCTAAAGCCATTTCTTCATCAGCTGCACCATATTCAGGACATGTCTAAACGTCACGTACGTATATACGGTATCTATTACTCCTAAGATACTGTTCGTGTTTCTTTGCGGTTCTTAATTGGTTCATTGCCTTCAACAGAAAATTGCAATTTTCTTGACACAAACGTTATTTCTAAAATCATATATCCATGACAACAACACCATAGTCCCAAGTCTCGTTCGGTGGCCACGCTACATGACACTATTATTTGATTAGTGTTGCTGATGATACCACCGATATTTGTCGCTATGTGAGATGTCTGTGATGTTACTGATGCTGAGATGCTTTGTATAGACGCACGAGATTGCTGATGGATTAAAAGGACGTGTAATTGCTCTGATGTTGCGGTCAGGCAATGATAGTGACGTGTTGTGGCAGCCATAATTCAAACATGATGTCTCTGTGTGTGCCGCATTTCAGCATGGAGGAATAAAAGGTAGGTGTACTGTAGAACATTATTGATTTACTCTTTTTTTTTCATTTTTAAAGTATTTAGACAATGAAACGTTTACAATACAGACTGAATCATAATCAAAACAAATTTAAATCCATGCTCTTGTCAGAAATTGTTCAAACCGTATTGAGGTGACAGCAGTGGTCCTATAGTCAGAATAAAATCTGTGTATCTGTGTAAATACAAAATAAATCGTTTTTAAAAAATCTCTACTCATATCATACTTCATAGATTTTAATCATTGAAGAACTGAACATACAATATATAAAATAAGCCTTTTTTATATTTAATGCTTCATATTTTATATTGTAGATTTAAAATCATATAAGGGTTCAATGAATGATTGGCAGGTTTTGCTGTGAACAAAAATAGCATTGACGTCTTCAGATGTTAGATATGATGAGAAATCGTGTTCTTTACTTAAGTGGATAGATTGTAAAATGATAAAAATAGTGTTCATGACTTAAGAGGTTAGAATGTATATGATAAAAAGTCGTGTTCTTTACTTAAGAGGTTAGATGGTAAAATGTTTAAAATCATGTTCATGACTTAAGATGAAAAATGGTGAAATGGTAAAAATCGTGTATATGACTTTAGAGGTTAGATGGTAAAATGAAGAAAAAAGAGTTCATGACTTAAGAGATTAGATGGTAAAATGGTGAAAATAGAGTTTATGGCTTAAGATGTTAGATGGTAAAATGATGAAAATAGTGTTCATGACTTAAGAGGTTAGATGGTAAAATGATGAAAATAGTGTTCATGACTTAAGAGGTTAGATGGTACAATGATGAAAATAGTGTTCATGACTTAAGATGTTAGATGGTAAAATGAAGAAAATAGTGTTCATGACTTAAGAGATTAGATTGTAAAATGGTGAAAATAGAGTTCATGGCTTAAGATGTTAGATGGTAAAATGATGAAAATAGTGTTCATGACTTAAGAGGTTAGATGGTAAAATGATGAAAATAGTGTTCATGAATTAAGAGGTAATATGGTAAAATGAAGAAAATAGTTTCATGACTTAAGAGGTTAGATGGTACAATGATGAAAATAGTGTTTATGACTTAAGAGATTAGATGGTACAATGATGAAAATAGTGTTCATGACTTAAGAGGTTAGATGGTAAAATGAAGAAAATAGAGTTCATGACTTAAGATGTTAGATGGTAAACTGATGAAAATAGAGTTAATGACTTAAGATATTAGATGGTAAAATGAAGAAAAAAGTGTTCATGACTTAAGAGGTTAGATGGTACAATGATGAAAATAGTGTTCATGACTTAAGAGGTTAGATGGTAAAATGGTGAAAATAGAGTTCATGGCTTAAGATGTTAGATGGTAAAATGATGAAAATAGTGTTCATGACTTAAGAGGTTAGATGGTAAAATGATGAAAATAGTGTTCATGAATTAAAAGGTTATATGGTAAAATGAAGAAAATAGAGTTCATGACGTAAGATGTTAGATGGTAAAATGATGAAAATAGTGTTCATGGCTTAAGAGGTTAGATGGTAAAATGATGAAAATAGAGTTCATGAATTTAGAGGTTAGATGGTAAAATGATGAAAATAGTGTTCATGACTTAAGAGGTTAGATGGTAAAATGAAGAAAATAGAGTTCATGACTGAAGAGGTTAGATGGTAAAATGATTAAAATCATGTTCATGACTTAAGAGGTTAGATGGTAAAATGATGAAAATATTGTTCATGACTTAAGAGGTTAGATGGTAAAATGAAGAAAATAGAGTTTATGACTTAAGAAGTTAGATGGTAAAATGATTAAAATCATGTTCATGACTTAAGAGGTTAGATGGTAAAATGAAGATAATAAAGTTCATGACTTTGGATGTTAGATGGTAAACTGATGAAAATAGTGTTAATGACTTAAGAGGTTAGATGGTAAAATGAAGAAAATAGAGTTCATGAATATAGAGGTTAGATGGTAAAATGATGAAAATAGTGTTCATGACTTAAGAGGGTTATATGGTAAAATGAAGAAAATAGAGTTCATGATTTAAGAGGTTAGGTACTTACAACTGATACAAAAGCTTGTCTTATATATATATATTTATATTTTTTCAATACAGTGACAATAATAATGGATCAGTAATTCATTCAGATCATATAATAACCTATTTGTCACCAATTATCTTTCATATCACCACTCATACCATACAAATTATGCAAAACGAAATTTGTATCACTAAAGACTGCATAGGGATAGGTATTATTTCATTTACTAGCACTCTGTATTGCTCTAAGGAAGAAAGAGGGATAAAAGGAGAGAAAGAGAAGCTGGTAAGAAAACAAAGAAGAGAAAGAAGAAAAGATAAAGACAGATATCAGACAAGCATGTCAGGCAAGGAATTCAAAACAGAGCTAGATACTAATTAAAGTTAAGTAACAGAATTGTTACTGAATAATTAAGATATCAACCTAAATCATGTCAGATTTTAGGCGAAATCAACTAATTTCATCCATTTCTTCCATTCATTTAGAAAAAATTGTAGACCAGGATAACTTTTACCATATGAAATACATTTTGAACCACACAGTTTTCTTTTATTACATTAGCTATAGCCATAACAGAGAGAGTACCATGTATAGTTCTGGTTCTGTAGATATAAAATTTGATTAGAAGAAGAACTTCATTATCAATGCATTGTAAATGCCTGTGTTATTTACCAAACCAAATAACAATGTTTCTTTATTTATAGGTAATGTAATTGTTAGTGCATTTAACAACCTTTCAAAAAAAGACGGAAAATTCTGACCCTCATCCCATTACCAGAACATATGCACGATTGTCTCCCTTTCTCGATTACAGAAATTACAATTAGGATTGTTTGATAAGCATATTTTATGTGCATAAGAGTTAGTTGTTAGAAATATAGTGGTTAACCTTTAATTGAAGCCAATGTAGTTTAGAATTTTGAGTTGATCAAAAAGGAATACTTTATTTTTTTTCCATTTCTGTTTGGGTTTTTTATAAGAAGAATACGAAATGGTTTTACCCCTTAATTCCATCAATAGAGTTTCTAAAAATAATTGGTCATTGATAACAAATTCTAAATCACCATTTCGAGATTTTTTTTACATAATTAGGTTGGTATACAAGGAGGCAGTATTGCAGTTTAATGTTTGTAATTGTATTACCAATAAGATTAAAATAATCCTGGTAATGTAATAAGGAATTGTTGAATTTTCACAGCCCCTTCCCTTTTTTAAATCTTATAATTTTATCATAAACACAAGTTTCTGTTTATACTTGAGCTGCAGTGTAAAATCAAGATTCTCCTTTCTTCCTTTTTCTGTGGACTTTCTCCTTTTTGCTTTGCTATTTTTTTTCTTCTTATCTACTCTCTCTCTCTCTCTCTCTCTCTCTCTCTCTCTCTCATAAAGACAATACATGTGTGCACGTGTATCATTACATGTACTGGCGCCAAGTATATCAACTGATGTAAATAAGAGTATATATGAGTCGTGTGATGTATGAATATATAATATGAAATGTTTGATTGTAACTATACCAGGTTTTGCGGAAAAATCTTGAATTAAAAGAAAATTACAAAACCAAATAATAAACTGAATGATAGTTATTGCAAAGTCTATCAATATAAACAAAACATAGCAAAAAATACTGTTCTGACAGGTATATTGTTTTCGCACACATTCCAAAACCAAATACTACAAAAAAAAAGTTATTGAAGTGTAGATATCGAACAACAGATTTAAGAGGAATTTCACATGGACAGGTTTCTTTAGTGGTAAATGTGTTTATATTGTCATAAGAAGGCAGAGTTATTCACACCTTTAAAACAAGAACGTACTCAGAACATTTAAAATAATTACCTCATCTGTTAGACAATGTAAAAACAAATTAAATCACTTTGCATTCAGATTGACTATTAGATGCTGTTTATCTTAACTTCAATTTTCTATTGAAATAATTAAGTTACCCACAAATTGGCATTGGTGGACAATTTTAGTTTGATAAATATAGAACATATGTGGGGCAAACAAAACAGATACGTAAACAATCTCTTATTTAGTGTTATGGCTGTAGAATAATGAAAATATGAATTTGAATATTGAAATATATGTAATCGGTTAGATATTTCGTAAAGAAATGTGTTTCTCAAAACACTGACTGGATAGTGGGACAACTGGGATAATGGTAGCTATACGCACGGGGCTTGATCGTTATATTTACAGATTATCACATTGAGGGTTTATTTGTGAGAACAATATTTTCATCGCAAGCACGGGGAGGCCACCACATGTTACCCTTAAAACTATGTATTTTTTTTTAAAACAATATCATCGTCATTGGCTTCTCATATGTACATTTACGCTTGTTACTTTCACATTTTTTTTTATTACTTTATGATGATCACTAAATGACGGACTATTTTCCTAGTTTTTTGTGGATACTATTTGCGGTTCAGGACGTCACCTGGCGAGAGCATGCCGTTTTTTTCTCGAAAAAACAATACATTCCCAATTGAAAAGATACATTCTCAAGTTTTTCTCAAATTGATCGCTACGTCCTCTTGAGCATTCCCATGCTTAAAACGCACGATAATGAATTTATCATGCTACCGGTTGGTGATATTAAGTAGTGTATAGACGATTTCCTATATTCTGTATAAGAATGTTGGTGTTATCTCCCCTTACAACTCTCTACGAGTAACTGCTCTAAGGATGACCAGAAATCAATATGAATTGATTGACCGTTTTGATAATTCCTATAGTATACATGACCAATTTCTATATGTAGCTATTTTTCTGTTGCAGCACAACGCAACTAATATCAACAATAAATTCAATGGATATGGATGTTGAATTGTGATATTACAGGTGGAATTAGAGAAGTCGAGGATGGGATGTGCAACTTCTATGACAGCAGCAAACCGATCAGTTGTTTCAACGACAGAGTCAAAACTTTTGACAAATAAACAGCGATATATCATCAAAAAAACATGGAAAGTGATGTGTTCCAATATCACTGGACACGGCATAAAGGTTTTTCTCCGCATATTTCAACTCCATCCGCACGTCAAACAATTGTTTCCTTGTAGAGACGTTGAAGGGGAAGACCTCTTACGTGATTCCAACTTCAAGGGACATGCCTCAAGATTTATGCAGGCTGTCGGAGCGGCAGTCGAAAACATTGATGACATAGAAGCAGCACTCACGCCATTACTAACTGGCCTTGGAAAGCAGCATATACAGTTTACAGGTTTTAAGAACGAATATTTCGACGCATTTACAGAGGCCATGATGTATGCATGGCATGAGGAATTGAAAGGACAGTTTTCCGGTGAAACAAGCCTGGCATGGGCGACAGTATTTGAATTCATAATGCACAAACTGAAGGAAGGACACGCGGCGGCATTAGCTAACAGCGATAAGGTTCAACAGAATTTAGAATCCAATGATCAGATTGCATCGAAGTGAAAAGTTATTATTACCGTGTTATTGCCAGCATGTTTGAAGAACATTTGATGGTGAAAGCAACACATGTTGTTTTTGCAACATTCTGTCGGTACGTTTTTTGACAGTTTGAAGTTTAAGTTGTCAAATCAGGACAACCTGTTTTTGTGTGACAATTTACAATTTTAACTCATAAAATCTTCCAAACTTCCCGTGTTGGACTTTTAGAAATCGTTATGTATACACCAGTCTAGCTGGACACGTTTTACAAATTACGACGACTTAAACATGTCGTCAATTCATGTCAAATGATAAATGAAACATATTCTTTGTTGTTTTATTTTAGTTGTAGGTACGATGTTAATCGGTAGATTGTTGTTAACCTAGTTTTGATGGGTGCCATATGTGGCAAGGAAACGCTTAACATTTTGAGGCACTTCATTTTAAGCTAGTATTTTGCAGGTAATGTCTTTGTTTTTGTTTTTTGTAAAACAAGGAATCTTCGTCAAAAATCATTTCTTTTATTTACAGAGAGAACAATACAAAAAGTAATGTATACATAAGATATAAAAAAAATCGTGCAGAACTAACTTTGGCCGTTTTTCATTATTTCAGTCTAATGTTGTCCCTGGAAAGAAAACAATAATACCATTATATATTTCATTTCAAATTTCAGATCTTACAATGCATGCTTTTATTAGAATAAAAAATCACACGTGTCCTGAAATAAAAATGAAGTGTTTAAGAAAGTATACCTGAGCAAAGCAATATAAATTAGTAACGCTATTTTACGACAACAGTAATTATAAAGTAATTACTTTTTCACCTGGAATGCTTTTTGTTTCGTTCCCTCAGCATTTTTATAGAAAGTATGACAGAGTAATGTCAGGATGCAAGTATACATCGGGATAAATACAGTACTGTAAATATCGACACTTTCGCGGATCAGAATGTTACCTATGTAAAACAATTTTTTATCGACAATGCTTCTGAAATTTTCCTTTCATAACATATAAAAGTTGAAATAGGGCAAAATATTGAGACTGTGACTAATTCAGCTTTTCCTGAATTACGTCGTGTACTTACATGACAGCCACATTCATTACAGACATCACAGACACCAGAGTTCTTCAGCACTGTGGACTGGTAGAACTTCGTCACTTGGTTACCTATTTTGTAAAAGAAATAAAGCATTTAAATACGTTAAATCCTATCTAGCGGGATGTATGTTTAGAGGAAATGTCGACTTGACAGTTCCTACTAGTATATTCTTGACCCTTTATGGTTTAAATCATTGTAGGACAAGTTTCAGACTAAATCCTCGCAAAATATGAATACCTACTCATCCCATGTAAATCGCACGTAATTTGATCATGCCAAATGCTATGCTGTATACATGTTTGCTTTATTTTTTTTGATGGCATAGCTATTTTTGAAGCTGAATATATATATAAAAAAAACACAAGACAGTGAATATCTAATGAATTAGTACTTTGCGACAGTCGGTCTTGTAGGTTTTTACATAATATTAATATTGTTCAGATATAGTTTAACAACTAATAAATGAACAGTATTAATTATCTTTTCCTGTGGATAACTTACTCCGAAAAACGTACTCGCGAAAATAAAATAATTGAAATATTTCTGCAGAATTGTCTACTGTATATTGAGAGTATGTAAATATATTCAACAAGATTTATCTTACTTGGCTCATAGTAGTCATAGACTCTGATAGGAGCCGGCTGCGACTTGGCAACTTTGTCCGTCCTGAAGGCGTCCATAGTTACACACAGGGGAGTCGTGGTAATCTAGATAAAGTGAATTCGGATTACAGATTAGACATTAATGACTGTATATATAAGTAATATAAAAATTTAATAAAGCTCTGACACTTTACCGAAATGACTAAGGATTTCGTCGCAAAAAATTGGCCGTTTCGGTCAAAGGGTAAATACGATCCTGTCGACAAAAACGAGGTTGACGAGTTTCGAATCGATCTCTTCGATATACCCACACAGAAACACGCCAAACACTAGCTGATGGATGACTTTCTACTAATTTTTAATCTACACTGTCTGTATCATTTAAAAGCAAATTATGCTTTATGAATAAATATATATATATAAATTTGTGCCGTCAAAAGACACGGAGCATTAGCAAATACAGACCTCAGACTATAGATAATGCTTCCAGTTCATCAATACATATGTATGACTTATGTTTCTTTCTGTGATAGAGATAGAGTGAAACTATTATGTTATACGGACAAGAAACTGATTTTTTTCACAAGTTAATGTTTTTTTATTTGGCTGTGAGAAGTGACTCATGGCAAAGGCATCGTATGCTGTTAAGACACTGTACATTAATTTGAGGTCATTTCATCATTTTAAGGGATTGTGTTGACGTCGATAAAATTATCTCGGGAAAAATGCTGGTAAAATGGTGCTTTTCAGATAGTCATTTTTCAGCAAGAATTTGGTCTAGAGCAAAATATAGATAATTGTTCTTTAGTTAAGATTTCGTCGTCGCAATCAATGAATGATTAACAACAATCGGAAGAGTCATGGGAAGAAGTTCTTTAAATTAAATGAAAAAGCTATCATTCTTATTATTTTTTGAAAGCTATAACAGTTAACTATTCGTTGTTGTTATTAAACACGTTTAACGAAATATCTCATCTTAAGGCTAAAAGTGATACCAAGCTTATTAGAATAATATCAGAATCAAGACGGCATATCTTGAAACGAGCTTACGATGCATTCACTTGAAACGCAACATGATGTCGTCACAAAGATATTACCAAATGGTACCACTTGTTGTGGAAGACACTTGAGTTTTCGAAATCGTTACTTGTGGTGATCATTCGTTAATAGCAGTTTAATATCCTAGTTCTAATGATACTTATTGATCAGCATATTGTACCACCAGTCAATGTTTGCTGATATAAGTTACTTTTTTGAGGGTTAAATAAAAATCTACCAATGTCTGCTGTTTAATTGTTGTGGATAAAAAAATCTTTCTACTTCGTTTACATTTAAATTTTCCAGTATAGATATTTAAAGTAACGTTTTGCAATAACAAGAAAACCGTATTCTTTGATCCATGACCAAAAGGACCATAGAAATACAAAAGATGAAACATGTTAATGCATTATTGAAGATAAGTCTATGCTTGGTTAAATGTTCATACCTCGTCAAAGTACAAAATGACCTTGCGATTCTCTGTCTCAGTCTTCTTCAGGGTGGCAATTTTCCCTATGCTTTCAACATCAGGGGCGAAACCGGTCGGCACTCCAACTTCCTGCACGGCCATTCCACTGGCTCCAGTTTTCAGCCACCTGTAATCCCAATTAATCGAAGCTTTAAGTACGATGGCATTGCTGGCAATAAATACATGGACTGATAAACATGCATACACATTTTCAGAAGGGTTTTTCTTGTTGTGCATATAAGAAAAAAAATGCTTTTTCGTATTTGTTAAAAAAGAGACTAACATTACTTTATACAATACATGAATTTAAATTCAATTGAAAAAAAACCACTTCTTACTTTGTACAGGATCGGACTTTTAGGGAGTTGATTGTTTCTTCGATAATCGTAACATCAACTTCAAATGATGGCTGTTCGACCTCTTGCTCAACATTAAAGAATACAGATACCTGTAACAAAATATAACTGCATGTTACGTGGGTAAGTTATTTAAATGATTTATTAATTTCAGGATTTTTAAAATGGTACACTGATATTTCATGCATAATCGTGGTATTATTATCGTTACTTGTATTTTGATGAAACAAAGCAGCAAACCTCGACTAGGCCCATTCCACTTCCGGTTCCTGTAACAGTCACGTGGCTTGGTATGGATGGGAGCTGAACAGAAATTAATTTGCAAACTGATAAAATATATGGACTACCAAATCGTAAAGCACAGTGTTGAATGGAATACAAATCTCTAGTGACAACAGTCACCAGTTTGAAAGATGTTATAAAACATACAATCTAATGTTTCGACTTACTGTCTAGCGGAAATGCTACTTTCTCATAACGAATTATATATTCAATGTACATTCTTTAGTGAAAAGGTGAAAAGCCTCTCTTTTATCTGGAAGAGGTAAATAATAGTGCACAGTGGCAACGTTATTAAGCAATTTGATAGAATATAAAAATTACTTGTTCAAACTCTAGTAGCAAAGCTCCAAATTTAAACGAGTTTCAGTACTATCTCTACTAAACATTTTCAAGTATTTTGGTGAGTTTAAAATAATAAATTCAAGTAAATATCTAATGTATTATCACCAGTATAAAATCTACTTACTTCCAATGATTGAAGTACCAATGCATTCTGTCTGGTGACGTTAAACTTGTGAGTAGTTTGTCCAGCTGTGATTCCGATTTGCATGTTGAAGTGTTCAGAATATCCGATACGAGCGAACTCGGACAAGGACTGTAGTGCTAATACGGTATCCTGGAACCAATATAAAGATGATTTTTCCAACAGTGCAATTAAAATATAAAACATTATATATGTTAAACTTTGGATGAGGTATATAATATATATATGTATATGGAATTTGAGGAAGATTCCTCCTCTTTTTTTCACTTTTGATTTTAAACCTCCCTGAACCAACACAAAAAATGCATGAATATAAATAAATCTATTATGCTTGGTGACATCGCTCAGTTGCAATTTCAATGCCAAAGCTTTCACTACAATCTTATCAACGCGACATTTATTATCTGAACTGTAATATCTATTTGGAGGTAACAAACACATTTTAAATTTTCCTAATGACGTTTATCCTTTTTCATACGTTTGTTTAATCGTAAATCTGTACTGACCTGAGTTGAAGAAAAGCCTCCATTGGGATTCCTCTGCTTTGTGATCCATTTCATGAAAGGAAGCCCTTCAGTAAACTGACCGTTGTGAGCAAACACCATTAGGCCATATGACGTCATCTCAATATCCACTGGCTTGGATTGCTGATGGGGTGGGGACCAGTAGTGGCCGGTTGAGGATGAGGCTGATTCTGGTTCATGCCAGTGGGTCATACCGTCTGTAAAGAAACAAAACCGTGAAATAAACGATATGATGATACAAAGACAACATCAAGGAAAATGTTCCAATATTATAAAAAGTATTTTTCGACCATTATAACAATTATAAAGGGTGAGAAAGGGAACAGCACAAAGCATCCCAATGTTTGTTTACAATTAACATTATTTTATATATGATATCTTAAAAAGTTTGGTAGTTTTCAATGAAATGTCATTCAAATTGTTGACAGATATGATGATATGATAGGATGTCATATGACTATGAAACACTCTATACGCTTTATATAGTATTGCCACACGGAATTGTCATCATAGGGACACAGAAGCAGTAAAGATACGAATGATAATGTTGCAATGTATTCAGTGGATTGATGTGTGTTTCTTCAATATCTTTGCTAAAAGGATAAAGAAGATTAACCTGATTACGTGGAGGGAGAGGGCATATAAGTCGGCAAGTAGAGAGGTGGCACATTCGACGCCTCACAAAAACGAAACACGTAGTTCGCCTTACACAGAGAAGGCGAATCAGTTGTGTCATAGTTTTCCAATAACCTTCTTGGTAATTAACGTTTCTACACTCCCTCACCTTTTTAGGAACAAAGTAAGTCTATATAAAACAATTATGCAACAAGCAATGCCCAACCACTGACCTCACTATTATCTAAGAAGGAATCGCAAACCTTTAGTAACTGCTGTGGCCATGAGTTTATGGAAGGTTGTTGCGGAGGAATGACTTCTTGCTAAAGTCAATGCGTAGCTGCAAATGGATAGGCCGTAGGGGTCTGTCATGGCGGATACCTCTCCCTCCAGGTATGTCTGGGCTTTATTGGCTGCTGATTGTATCCTCAGGTGCACACCCTGTAGATTTAAAAATATCACTGTTGCTTAAAAATGATTTGATATAGCATTACAAGTACTTGCTTATAATACAATATACAATAACATAACACATATTATAGTCATGAATATCTAGGTGCTTGTTATATATTCGGTTAGAGGCAATGTCCTTTAATGCGTTTTAGAACATGTCATTCAGCATTACAAGGCAGAATTGAAAACACCATAGGTTTGATCTTCAACAATTACTTATTTCCACATGTGTGTAAGACGATGACCTGATGTATAACTTACTCCTTGCAGGTCACTGTTTTCCAGTAAGGCGATAAGGACGAAGGCGGTCAAAGAAGCACCGGAGGCAGATCCACCCTAAATCAGAAAACAGATCAGACGCTTTAACATTAAGATGCATGGTCATTTGAGAACAAACATGTATAACATATTCACGTTAAAAGCAAGGAAAGACGGTCACATAAATTACATTGCTTACTATTCTTGTTTTACTAATTTATTAAGTCAATGTACCCTGTAGCAGCCTTAGCATTCTGTTATTTTTATCCTACAGTGATGTGTGTTACTGGCATAGATATCAGAGGCATACTAGGGTATACAAGAAACCAGGTACAATGAGATATAAAGTAACCAAGATATCTAATAATACCTTCAAAAATAAAGTTCAAGGATCATGAGAGAGAATCCTCATGTTATATAACGTCAATCGTCCTTCTCGTTTGATAATAGTTAAATTCATTTTGCACACTAAAATATTAGTTTCTTAACTTATTTTACACATGAACTCCCTCATTTGCATAATAACATCAACATTACCTGCATGTTCTTATGAATGATACGACCAGGTTCTGGGAAGGAACCATTTGCTGCCTGGCGGTTTATCATCCAATCAATAGCTCCGGTTAGAGTTTCATCATCGATAAAGACATGACGTTTCGCCTGGTGGAATGACTTCGCAACAAAAGCCGTTAGCCACATGCTACCCGATGGGTCCCTGTCTCCGAAAGCACTGAATGATCCATCCTTGTGCTGGAAAGTTAGTTCTCTTTGGTATCCTGTAAAAATCACATTTATTGTACATTATACAGACTGACACATTCAAAAGTAACAAACCGGAACATAACTGGCCATGTCTTATTCAGATGTAATGAATAAATTGCAATGTATCATTGCTATATTATTTGACCGATATAATTCATTCAAGTTATATTACGCATGTATGTTTTAGAAATAGAAACACGTTTCTTGTATTTGAAATTTTGAACATGGCAGAATGATATTTTATTATCTTCATATAAAGTATTGTTGACTGTTTATACATTTCGGCTTAAGATTTTCTTACCAAATACTAATCATCCATGATATTTTTAATTAAATTCATTCATCAAAATCTTTCGCATTATATATTAAGAAATGTCAAAAACATAACTAGACAAAATACCTATATAGTTTTAAATTTGATTTGTTATTTCAATATAATTATTGATAAACACAGAGGTTTTTCTAAAGAAAAAAAGTGCAATATTTTGTAAAAAAAGAATCCATTACACACATACTTTTACCTTAAGAGTATAAAAAGTAATGCATTAATACTATAAATTACTCATTTTTCGTATGACACTTACTTTTGCTTAAACCACGTACAATTTCGATCGCGGTTTCAAGAGCGACGCGATTTCTTTTCTCAGTAAATTAAAGGAGCTATGACTTTGCGTAGTAAAACAAAATCTCATGTAAAAAGTACGGAATGGTGAGTTTTCGAAATGAAGTATAGGGGTTATACATAAAGTTTACAGTTTTTATCGAAGTTAAACAAATGAAGCATATGAGCATACCTTTCTCCATAAAGTTGATCGCTTTCTCCTCGACACTTGATGTCAACTGGTGGGTATCGGTGAGATAGTTAGTTACAAACACATCAGGTGCGAAACCTAACATCGTCTGTTCTCCACATCCGGTTGGCATGCGCAAAAGTTTGTCTAGCCCATTGACCGTTGGTCCCATTAAGTCACCTACAAAAAGAAAATGAATAAGTTGTTAAAAATCTTTATTTTTTATTCCATTTAATTATTTTTCACGCAGGGAAGGTCTGCAAAAATCTTCAAAATCGATTTGATATTTCCGGAATCATACAAAACAGGCATAAACACGAATCAAGGAAATAGTCTTTCGTAAAAATATTAATCTATGTGATACAATACGTTATCATATGCTGCGTTGACAATATCGTTTAACATTCACAGCTTTTTTACGATGCTTTCATTCATTTAAATCAACTTCTTGAAAAAATATTACAGAAGAAAACATACCGATAGCCGAAACACGCACTCGCTGTGATCCGGCGACGACCCCAGCAGGTAATGTGACATCAACTGTCTCCGCGAAGTTGGTGTTGTGTTTCAGGTCAACAAGCATCGGTATATTGTACTCTTTCGGGACACCTTCAGCCTTATCGTGAAACAGGTTACATGATTCTTAGTTACTGTAATTCCTTAAAAAAACTTTCTCGCTGAATTACAAACGGTATCTAACGTCCCATCGACCGAAAAACCCACTACGTTAGTAAGGATACTTATATATCAGATTTTGATATTTTACTTATACTGATACTTTTAAATAATACTGATACGGTAATATAAAAAAATCTACATGAGCAGTAGCAAATTCCAGAATTTATCTATTTTACGTATATTTATTTCATTGCTGATAATCGATCACTTCACGGAGGGCCGTCTCAAGATCAATAACCCTGTTTTGTACGAGCGCAAAAAAATATCACTTGCGACAGAATTAAGATATTCGTGCGAACAGGAGTACAATCCATTTAAATCTTCATTCTAGGACCTATTTCAAAACTCCGAACCATTAACAGGGTTGAGGTTTTTCTCTATCCATTTCTTTCAGAGGTCATTGTTGTTGTATGCCTCCACTATGAGTCGAACTAGGGACCTATGGCCTACTATTCTTACTCTCAACCGAGTGAGCTAAAGAGAAATTCTCCCTAGTTAGGTCGGTAGTATTTTACCAGGATGACATAATAACGCAATGTCTTTATTTAGGTTTGATAGTGGAACCCATGACTAGTGGAACCCGTGACTATTAGCTATTCAGAGTAAATAAGGTTTTCTCTGGTGTACGTACCCAAAATCAGTAAAGATAACGTCATGGAAAGTTTATTATATCATAATCTTGAATAAAATCATAAATGAATTTACTAGTGCTGTTACAAAGCGCTTACCATTACAAAACATGTATACATATATATTGAAAAGACAAAAGTCCCGTTTCAAAGTAAGCCTTATTATTATATATTAATGGTTTGGATTAAGTAGCGTTTGAAATCTTTCCAAGACATGTTCCTACCTGAACATAACACAGACCATGCTGCCTTTATACGGACACACTAAAATGATGAATCGAGTTCGAAAACAAGTAAACAATATCAGCAACTGTACCTCAATAAGGAGTTGTCGCCTAACAGCGTCGGCGGCCAACGTAGACTGGGCCTTCACGTTAATACTGACAGAACCAAGACCGGCAGGAACCACAGGGAAAAAAACAGATTTTGTTCCACCAGCTGTTACCTAGAGACACAATATCGAGATCTACAGTAAGTCGTGAAACAAGGGTTCGGTTGTATTTGATAGGTAAAATATGGTTAAAACGTACTTAAAACACACATAAATGCAATCAGTAGCATACTCTATGATGATATGATTCATATCGAATAACATCTTGTATATAAAAATTACATCCTTATGGAAATATTTGAATTAATTTTTGATAATGATAATGAATAGATATATCGTATACTGATTTTCAAACATTATCTATGATGTATTTTCATAATGGTTCAGTTATTTGCATTTCATGGTTTTAAATTTAAGAAATAAAATAATTGCCGAAAATAAATAATTAAACATTTCATCGTAGATAACAAAATCGAAACGGAAAAAATTGAAACGTTCTCAATATCTGCCATATATCTGAAAAATGAAATCATTCACTGTCTTAGTTCTGCAGCATGGTTTTTGATGGACAAATATGGGATGAACTGGGAACAATGAAATTTGATGATTTAAGATAGATTTAAAATTAGGAGACTAAATAGAACTTGCAACAATTATATAACTTCATAGAGAAAAAAAACCCCACAAAAATAGATCAGCTAGAATGTAATCCTACACAGGAATGTCAACAGTATGTTCAATACGATTTCTATCCGGTATAGCGAACACGAGAAAACTTTTTTTATTATGTGTTTGTTAGACAAAAAATAAACTACCCAAGATTTTTGAATGGAAGTTAATTATCTAGTTCATCAGATAAATGCATGCAATAATTTGCTATGCGTCTACCTGGTATTGGTTATTGTCTCGACAAAACAGCGTTAAGCTAAACAAAAAATGGGATCAATGAGAGAAAAAAGATGTTTAGGAAAATATATCACGCTAGCAGTTAGCCATAGGTCATCTGTTTAATCCTCCTGATTGGAATTTGTATGTAAAAGAAATCTATGACATATCGTTTTCGTCATTTGTCCAGTATGTATAAAAGTATGCCTCTAGATAGTTTTTGGTCCCAGCTAATGTGGTAAGATTTTGAAATGACTTGATTGTAAGCAAACATTAGAATTGAAAAGTATATGTATGTCCCAAAAACATTCTAGATTTGGATAAACAATGGCTTAATTGATGATAGTTAATTGTATTTTCTCTGTTGTTATATCTGTATAACTACTTACGTGTACAGTCTTTGTTGTTGTCTGGGCGATGTAGGACTCTGTGCCATGTGTATCGAATACGACATTTACCAGATCATCATTCTTTTCTAATGTGACAACGACCTGGTATGTTAGGAAAAACATTAAATAAAACACAAAGAAAGTTCAATCAAACATGTTACTTACGGTCAACGGTGTTCAAGAACGGACTGACATTACTAAAAAGACGTCATGTAAATACCACCCTTTATTTATTCTTTTATGTGCACATTGCGATGATTATCTGCTTGCTTAATATATAAAAGTGATTGTAAGCCTTTATTTTTGTTTTACAATTATAACTTATACTATTATCCATATGTAGTTTAGCGCTTTAGAGTAATTTTACAAATTATATTGGGCGCTATATAAATGCAGTATATTATTATTATTGGATTTTTAAACTTTCCGTCAGCGCCAACTCAAAATGATCAAAATGTAAACTGTTTAAGTCTACTCCTTCAGAACAAAACAAGATATTAAAATATTTTCATTTATATATTTTTCTCTTTGAAAACACATGAAAAGAAGAATGAACAAAAACTGTTGTATGTCGTTTTGAAATTGCCAACTCTTAATGATTTTGTTATTCTGTGTCATCTGACTCAGAAATATGATACGACGCTGAATATACGTACGTCCATATCCATAGTCATATAGTTGAATACATTGGCCTGCAGTACGAGTTGTTCTCCTCTCACAACTGAGTAAGGCAATGTCAGGCTGACAAAGAATGGTCTGAAGGCTTCAACCTGTAAGATCAAAAGAGGCTGTTGTAGTTATATAATAAACGTGATCATATAATTGCCATAAGTCTTAAGTCGTTGTCGATTTATTTTTATTTATCGCGAAAGACACCGAGTGTGTTAAAACTTCAAAATATCAAAAAGCAATATATTATACATACTGATTTAAGTTCAATATGAATACATGCAATAGCATCAAAATACAACTAAAACTTTGGAACGAGAGTAATATTTTCACAAAATGAATGCAATTATGATACAATATTGAAGAAAGCAGCCTTTCCAAAACGGATAAAAGTTCATTGTTCTTGATCAATTTATAAGTTCAAAACTATTGTTTACTATGCTAAGCGTGCCTTTGCGCTTGTTGGAGCGATTCCGAGACCACTGGTGGCGTGGACAGCAAAGGCACTGGCAACCCATGACGTAATCGTATCCGGGACTGTGGCAGCAATGGTCACGTGGCCGTCTGGTCTACGTTAGTTAACAAATCGAAATTGAATGTTGTAATGGATAATGTATGCTTTGTATGTTACGACCAATCAATATAAAACAGTTTTATAGTCTGTAATACAGGTATTCGATTTTATCATATTCTTTAAGCGTTCGGAAAAAATAAAAACAAAATATTTGAGACATTTTGTCTTTAAAATATATTTGACTGCACAAAAATAATCAGATTTACTATACTCAGTATAATAGACGTATTGACATTTTATTGTTGAAAACAAATGTATATTTTAATATAAAATAAATAACAATCACGCATACTGAGCTGAATTTGAAATATATTGAGTTATGAAATATTTAACATGTGAGAGACATAAGAAGCCTATGTCAGATGAAGGTGCAGGAAGGCAACAAGTAAGGCAACAAAGAAACAACTAAGCATAACATATAAATACAAAAGAACAATTCTAGCAATAAATGTAAATAGTCATATGAGGTAAAGTTTTAAATCAACACAATTTTGTTCTGTTTTATGATTAAATAAGTATATAGTTATAAGCCGTTTGTTGCTGTAGTTTTCTACTGTCACAAATAATAAAATCTGTTTTTATTAAATATATACAGAGACAAGGAAATGATCTAGCAAGTCAGCTGTTCAAGAATACAGAGACATTTTTATTTTCACGTCTCCTAGCCGTTGCGAGTTGTAATCAGAACAACTATTGAAGATTAATTTCCCCGAGTTGAGAACACATGGCGTTTGCTTTTTTATATGGTATTTAAAATATGTATTAAATACTGCTTTTCTTCTTCTTTTTTTAAAGATACTTACTAGTCTTACAAATTTCAAACAACGAACAAATGTGTTTTTCCTCGAGATCCTGCCGTCTAAATCCAACTTATGGAAACGGAGCCCATATGTGTGATTTTAACAAGTGTCATATTTTTAATTTGGATATCGAAACTAACTTTCTTTCTCATTTTTTCAATATATACTGTACTTTTTATTTCAATTTCTAACCAATTTAAAATCAGATTTGTTTTTGCCTGAAAGCGGTGTTACGAGAGTAAATAAAAAGTCAGACTATTGTTAGCAAAGATAGGCGCTGGATACTACTAAAGCTGGGGTTCATAAAGGAGTAAGGAGAACAGACTAATAAGGGCTATTGTAATAATGACCTTCCACTGGAATATCACAGAATGTATTTTGAAAGGAATATGAGCTAACTTGGCTTCTCTTGAAATAAAGCCACTTGGTACAACGAACGTGTATGTTCTTTGTTATTGAGTCAAGCATGAAGAGCTAATTGTTCCACCATTATAGTGGTATCACTCAGTGGAAACCATAAAGTGTTGTGAGAAGAAATCTTTACCCAATTGTTTCATTGAGCCAGAGCCATGTTTCTGGAAAATCATAACGAATTGTCTCCACTTCTTTCAGCAAGGGAGTTCCTCAAATATCACCAGAGGCCAAGCCAGTTGCCGTACCAGCACCCATTGAACCACCCATAGCAGGACCCATAGCAGCACCTGAGGCCATTCCATTTATAGCCCCAAAACCACCACCACCCCCTCCCGCCATCCAAGCAGCGGCCATAGGAAACATTTGGGGGTTTTAAAACAACAAAATCCTTCTAGGCAAGTGCAAATATGATTCGGACTCAGTAAGAATTAAATTGTCCATACAAAACGAAACGACATCGGTACAGCAGGACCAGCGACGACAACTAACGTGATGAAGAATGTCCTATTGCATGGGTTCTACCTAATGCTGGTGACAGCGTCAGGATGGAGAGCGAAGGGTCGACAATTTTCTTTCATCTTGGACCATTAAATTCTAAAGCAGAAGGAGTTCACTGATCGTAATGTGAAAATACTGGGTCGGGGACGAGTGATCCTAACTTAATTTTATAATTTTGAGGTCTAATTTTGTGTTTCACATAATAAAACTTTAATTTAATACTTAGCGTATCCCTTTAATCTTTTTCAGCTTTATTGTAGTCTTCTCTCTGTTCAAGACTATTAGATACAGTTTAACGTGCCAAATGAGTTGAATATACACTTGACCCCCTTTCATGTCCTTCGAAAAAACAAGTTTTGTTTAGAGCAAAACTCGAAAGATTTTCGTTTAAATGTTATGCGGCGAATTGTATTAAGAAGAAGCCATATTTACACCGGACCACAGAGTCATGACACGTGCAGAAATATCAGGATAATTAATAGACGCCTCACATATAAAAAAAAAAAAACACTATCATTGGAAAGGTATCTAACTAAAAACTCCGTGATAATATTTATTTATAGATATAGATACTTCTATTTAACCAAACATATTTTTTATCTGAAAACAGATACTCTGAAATAGTCTACGGGAAGTGTAGAGTACATGTTTAGATGAGTATAGTAAATTATAACACGGAAAAACATTGCTAGACATTCCATACTCCCGTACTGATTAATGGGCGGCAATAAAATTAGGTTTTTGTCCACTTATGTTCTACAATAGAAATGCGCATGTATACCTAAATTTGTTAACTTCGAATGCAATGTAATATGAGAATTACCTCGGACGACTATTGAAAAAGGAAATATCATGGGAAAGGTAAAACAGAAATAAACGCGAAGTTGGGGGATGCATTCAGTTTAGTTCCATGTGTTTCTAATCGGAAACCAATAGCAACATATTACAATAAAACTTAATCACAGTGAACTTAAACAACTTGGAATGTGGATCATTTAAAATTGGTATGATCTTTACTGGGTATGTATTTCAAAATTATTTTGCATCTTAACACTTAGGATGGTACTTTAGACAATTGTATAATTATACCCAGGCCTAGATGAATAAGTGGCGGATGGAGAGGGGATCATGATGTAGGTTTTTCTACTTTTTGGGTTGTGCTTTATGTACGTCTTATCTAAAGCTTCACTAGCCTAGCAATCATGTGATTCATTCAATCAATTAATTAGTTAATTAGTTATTATTGAAGAAAATCAGCTGAGTGTTCTTAAAGGGCAAAGAATAAACTACCAGATACCAAGACAATGGTTAGAGAACAGTGTATCAGATTTCCTTCTAAATACCATGTTACAGAGCGTGAAACAAGAAGCAAAGCTGACATACGCACATGAAGCACAGGAAAGCATGATGCTAGACAAACATCTAATGAAGAAAGAACAATACGGATGAGCGCATTATCAATAGCGTAGCACCTGCTGTGAAAATAACAATTTATTCATAATAATTGTATGATAAATCTTAGATTTCTTTTTGTTCATTTAAGATATCCCTTCTTTTTATATTTATTCTAAATTATATTAAGCCCGCTATTGTTTGTTCTAGGTATTTGAGTTGAAAATTTTACCCGACAGTTTTATTTAGCCAGAGCCATGTTTCTGGGAAATCGGAGCGAATTGTCTCCACTTCTTTTAGCACAGGGGCAGCGTCTGGGCCTATTCCAGCGCTAACCGTGGGATATCTATCCGGGTCTCGAATTGAAACAAATACAATTTTAACATATCTTCCAGAGGATGTAGGGTCTATTTCGTGTGAAGAATGATATGGTAACATGCAGCGATATTATAGATGTCTTCGACACAACTCGGCAAGAGACGATAACTGACCTCATTAAGAATTTTACAATACGATGTAGTGTTGGTACCAGTCATTTCCATGGTTCAATGGGGTCTACTTAACGCCAATGATCATTGTAGTATCCTATACGTCTAAAGATTCACGCATAAACTGATATGGTGTCTAGTTATTAGGTCAGCAATCCGTTCCCCTGGAAACTGCGTATAAACCTCATATGTGAAGTTCAGTGCTTGTTAGTAAGTAAATATTTGACAATTCCATAATAAATACATTAATTGTTACCTGATGTAAATACTGATACATGTATACCATGGTTCCTGATTTTGTAGTAGTTACCTGTAGGTTATATTTACGATACTCAGCGATACAAATTCTACCGAAGTGTAAAAAAAAATAGCATCGCTATTGCAACAAATTTTTACATGAACTATATATGTACAAGTGGATAAGTGAAGACGTTGGGATAATATCATTTAGGACCTCGAAAGACAGAACGCTGATTTAACACCCCTATACATTCAGTGGATACGACAGAAAGCTGAGAGAGAGAGAGAGAGAGAGAGAGAGAGAGAGAGAGAGAGAGAGAGAGAGAGAGAGAGAGAGAGAGAGAGAGAGAGAGCAGGGATAATAACTAAATAACAACTAATTTGACTGGTGGGTTAGAGAAAACTTAGCATCAAAAGGTGCTATAGTACCTCTTTATATAATGGGATAGGAGAAATAGCTAAGATATTGACGCACTGAAAAAGCTTTTCATTAGCAGATTAGAAAGACAGTTTAGATAGTTCAGTAAAACTACAACTAACTATAGTGTTTATCCTACAGTCCTGTTGAGCCAAAGCCATGTCTCAGTAAAGTCGGAGCGAATTGTTTCCACATCTTTTAGGACATTATTACTAGGAATATTACCAATAGGTTCCATGGGCTTTACCATATTAGACGGAGCTACTCCGGGTACAGACATGGGGCCATGCAATGCCATATCAGTATCGGTAAACATAGGATATGCCAAACAATATAGTTTTAGAATATATTTGGAAATTCGTACCCTTTTCGGAGTGGCACCTTCGTGGGTTACAAAAATCGCCGGCGAACTGAAACAGCGTGAAAATATATCTTATACCGCGAGGAATTAAACATACGACAAACGAGTTTCACCACGCGATTTAAATATTCATTTTAAATTACCTCCCGTTGAAAATTTACCACCTTTCTGTTGAGGAAGTCATTTTTATTGTGGACGGTTAGTTAGTCAGTCAATGGATTCTAAATGGCCCGTCAACACAAAAGAGGTCATTAGGGCTAATCAATTGTTGCGGCCGGACTTGGTGAAAAATAAAGCCTTTCACTGAGGTATGCTTCTCAGGGTTATTGTAATTTTGTTTTGAAGGTCGTCCTAATTTCTTTTTTACTTTATACTGTATCATTTTTATGTGGACAAACTGTACAATATACAACCATGCACACGATGTTAAATCATATAAGCGCATCGATGCCCCTAAGTTGATTTAGTAATTCCTGTTTTCATTTCAACAAATATCCAAATCGTTGAAATGCCTTTTGCTGACAATGCCCACGGCAATGAAGCCCGAACAGCTCAAACGATTATGAGTTTAAAATCAGAGAAATAAACCCCAGAAAACATCGATATATATACCCATTTCAAGTAAATAAATAAACGTATTTAAAGCATTCCGTGTTATAATTGTCTTCTATCCATAAATCAAATCGTAATGAAACAGAAATATTTCCATTCATGCCAATCAAACCTCATGTTTTGTTCAATAAACAATGTTTCATTAACCGTATATATGACGTTATCATCGGAATTTCTACCATGTGAATGATAACTAATGAATTAAGATATAAATGGAATTTCATTCTAAGGAAAGTAGCATAAATTACTTTTTACGCAGGTATATGGCTTTTCCATTTTCATTCAACTTTTGTCTCATTTTTTATACCCGCCCGTATTGATTTCGTAATGTTTGACCCTGCGATGAATCTGGCCTCTTACTCGAAGGCAAAAATGGCGTGTATAGGCATTGCCTGTGCCAAATCCTATTCTTAATTGCAACAATAAAATAATTTTGAAATGAAAGGTAAAAATGGATGAAAATAACACGGAACGAGAACATCCAGAACATACACTGGAATATATGTTACATTTTCTAAAACAGATTGCAACTACTTTACAAAATCCATCCGCTCACGGCCGTGATTTTTGAATATTTTTATACCGCACACACTATAACCAAAAATCATTATCATCATGTCATACATAGGAAATGTCCCGATAAAACGATAATTAAAAATAAGTAAATAAATGAAATCTTTAAAGTATTTCAATTAAAGCTGGTCAATATCGTTGAAAGCGAACCTGGTGGTTGTCTGATTTTTCAGGAAGGCATAATATCGCGCAGGCTTGACAGATTTGGAGTACTGTTTTGGAAATGCGCATTTCAAATGTTTTATTTAACAACATCAGTTTATTCCTCTCGAAGAACTTGTGGTTTTGAAGGATAATTTGATGTATGACTCCTATTTAATGCCATATGTCATCTCATCTCACCCAAACAACCTGATGGCAGCACATGTATGAAACCAAAGCAATACCTACATAAACTGGAAGAGTAACATCCGCCACAGATGTAATACACTATAAGCATAACAACACAACTGACAACCGGTAAAGGCTGATCATTACATAAGAAGAACTAGAAAGGTAATGTAAGTAGAGGTGAAGAACCACAATCAACACCAGTGTCATGCAACTTTGAAAAACCTGTACGTGTAATAGACAATACCGAACATGCAAAATCTATGGTCATCAGCGGTGTAACACAGTTGTATATGAACTGTAGAATAAAAGAACCTCCCCATCTTGAGGGTGTGTTAAAGAAATCTCCAACCCGAGGGGTGATATTCTTGATTGTCTTATCCGAGGCTTTGACTCAAGGTAGGGGATGATTGTTTTCTCCAATCCTGTTTCACTCACAAATCCACCGACAAGCGGTGATATCATGAAATATAAGCGTTGATTGCATGTTTTTCTAACAAATTCAGAGTTGTCTTCGATGGTCTACGACTGTTGACGTGACGTCAATGCATTGCTAACGTGATGTCATACTATTGGTATGACGTTGATTCCGCAATTCTACACGAGGCTATCTCACCAAAGAAATTTATGATCTCTTTCTGGCTTAAAAGGGAGACACAGCTTTGAAGGGTGTGAAAATTGACAAGCAGCACCAGTGTAACTCAGCTTACATTGAACTGTAAGAGCAACAATCAACATTGGTGTACGAACAGTTCAAATGACTGCATCGATGTAAAACAGCTTTACACAATTTGCAAGAGCACCGGTGTAAAAGTTACAGTCGACACCGGAGTAACACAGATTAACATTAACTGTACTTTGCACCTTAATAGCACCGGTGTAAAAGTTACAGTCGACTGAAATATCCTGTATACAAGTGATGGAATTACATACTAATGGTGGTAACTAGTCACAGCAGAAAAGGAAGGTATACTTGTAAGTTAAGTAAAGGAGAAAGAAAGTAATACTCATTGTAATACAAGATTTATACCAGGAATTGTATTCGTTTTAATAAAAGGTGTATTCCATGACGAAATAATTAGTACTGAATATAACGAATGGCGATTACGAGATGAAGTCAATATACTCATAGTAACGAATGGTTATACAGAAAATGAGAGAATTTCTCACTGAGGTGAATGGTAAATATAGGAGGAAAGGTCTAAACAAATGTGCTGGATATTATGAAAACAAAGAGAAGGTGGTGGTGGTGATGGTGGTGGTGGTAGTGGTGGTGTTGGTGGTGGTGGTGATGGTGTTGTTGTTGGTGTTGGTGATTGTGTTGGAGGTGTAGGTGGTGATGGAGGCGGTGGTGGTGGTGGTGGTGATGGAGGTAGAGGTGATATGGGTAAGGGATAAATAGCATACTATACTTGCAGTTTGTGATATCTAGAGGAAAAGTGGGTGTTTCCGCATTGTGAATGGTATAGAACAGTGCAATGCTACATTAACTACCACAAAGAAAAGGAAAAGAACATAATGTGCGCACTACGGAATTAGTTCTACACAAACAGGGAATCTACCCGGAAAGTTCATTTTTCCTGAGCTTTTTTTCTGGGGAACTTACAAACATTGAATTGAATTGTTTTCCTGCCAACACAACCAGTCTTTCACAACCACTTAGAACGATTATTCGCGTTTCAGTCAACGTATATATCTATGTTATGTATGAATAATTGTTTGCGGAAGGAATTAATTCGCGATGGACGGTAAACGCGAATTAACGCGACACTTATTATGTTGTCAGGATTTGGTAAGAAGATCTTTTCTTAGTTAGATCCTGTTTACAAGTGAAAATTATTGGTAAAATCATAATTGATACTTGCCAGAAGATATCTTAATCTTCTCTTAATTTGACGAAAGGTAATTAAACTAACTCCCTTTGAATGTACATTTTTATGTACATTTTATATAATAAAAAAAGATAAATAATATTAATTATACATTTAAAAATTACAAATAATAGTTATTTGCAGTATTGTTTTTCATCAATGATGATAGTATGATGTTTTTACTCACAGTATGGTTCAACATAGTGATATACTAGCGCATCAGTCATAACATTTACTCCGGCGTTCTACAATCCAAATTGTATATAAACAGAAATTATTCAAATATGTGTACTAAGAATTTATTACGGAGTCTCCCAGGTTTTTTTTGTGGTTTAATTTTGTTGTATTTCTGAACACACCCTGTGAAATGTTATGTCATTTATGCTTGATTCCATCTAATCTGATCATTTTGAGGTGCTATGTTTAACAAGAATATTATCATCTGATAAATGAATATAACGATGTTATTACAGAACCGCTATTGCAGTATTTCTTGTCAAATACTATTCAATTATATAACAAACAAAAAATATTTTAATTACCTTATTACACCGAATATTGATAAATGAACTAAAGATACTTAAAATGAGTTTCTCTTGTGTATCCTTGTATTTATAAACCTGTGTACAGTAAATAATTGGTTTAAGAGCAGTAAGTTTTCATCCTAGTGGTGAATAAACTAAGGTGTGAGGTGGTAGCTCAGTATTTGTACGAACCTGGAAAATCTGTTCGGCGTCCGATCCTCCATAATAAGTTGTGAAAGGCCACCATATCATACGCTTCTTCCTTCCCACATGCATAGGCTCAGGCATGATTCCGCCCCCCCCAAATCCACCCCCTCGGAAGAATATGGGGCCGCCATTGTTGCAATGTACAATGGTGTCATACGACTTCAGTTCATCAACGACCTATAAATATTTATGTACTTTTTGAAAAAGAAAATATCTTATAAAAATAAGTAGAGAAGTGGATGGATGGACGGACAGAGAGACGGACGACATCCAACAACCGATCTATATACAAATACCCATGCATTGGGCTGGAAACATTGTGATGCTCAACACAAACTGTTTACAAACAAATATTGCATCTTCATCAGCGTAAATACAAATGCTAATTCTGTGGGGGTGGGGGTGGGGATGGCACCAGATATATGAACAAGTAAACTTGAAACTAGAATCTTATGAAGATACTATATAAACAATGAAGCTTCATCTTTAATATTATGAAAAACATAGTTGCTCTTCTATTCGACTAGGTCCAAATTTACGCATATATCTGATGTCATTTAAACATGTGTAATATTTATACCTGTCTACTTCTAAAAGTGGTCCCTATAGGGCCAGGTGTATATAGGTATCTAAGTATCTTATACTCTATCAGTAGTACCTTACTAGGCAATAGCTCAATGATATTGGAACTTTTTCAACATTTATAAAAATATACATGCAGAATATGTTTCACAAACTTTAATACAAACAAAGTATTCACACATGAAAAGAAAACTCGTAGACAGTAGTTAACCGCAAATGTTACCTCTGCAGGCGTGATGTCATTTCCGCTCTTAAGGAGAAGTACACTCTGATCTACGGCTAAAAGATTGACGATGGAGTTAGGATCAGCTGTAACGTCAACAATGATTCCTTCACCAGGCTGGGCTTTGGTTTTGTCGAACCGAATGGATACCTACAACCGTCATTGGTTTTTAATTATATTCTCACCATGGCAAACTTTGCAAACTAATGCATTTGATGTCTTTAACATGTTTAACCGACATTTTACTTACCTTTTGAATTTGATGCACAGTTTTAAACCAAGTAATGTACTACGTATTTAAGCTTGTATTAGACCCTCTAGGTTTTATTAATGTTTGAACTAAAATAAATAGTAGACAAAAAAAACACCGCATACAGGCCTACGTTTTGGTCTTTTATCTTAATTTTTCGTCAGCAACGCTGCCACAACAAACTTCAGTACCTTACCAAAACGAACGTCTAATCAGTAAACCTATTGCATAATGTTTCGGAAAAAATTGACAAAAAACAAGTATCGCACACGCCGGACACACGCGGTGTTGAACTGCCATAAGGACTTAGGAAGTGTCATACTATTGCAACGAGGTTATCGCAAAGCCGCTTGTGTTACCGCAACAAACAAACTGAGGTTTTGAGCTTAAAGGGTAAAATAAGCTTTTAAATCTAGTTGTATTAACAGTTCTACTACAACATTTTAAATAAAATATGCTGTAATGAAAATGCGTTTCTTTTTCTGCTAGTATATGATTAAATTTACCTCGTTTTCAAAAGTTCCAGAAACGTCAAAGCTTATGCTGTCTGTGACGATTTCTCCATCAGCTCTGACGTAGTACACAACGATTCTCGCATTTGGTGCCATCTTAGCATTCAGTGGGACGTGAAATTGGAATGCTTTTGCGTTGTTGCCATTTATAGATCCTGACACTGCGATACTGCCTCGGCCAAGCACCTGGTTATATACGTCACATTGTCAGCACACAAGGACAACATTTTTAAACTCAAAGTTTATAAATAATAGACAACAACAGGAATCAGGTAGAACGAAAAAAAAGGAAGTACAAAATTGACCTCAATTAACAAACCGAGGAGATACAGGGTGATACGAAACGGTAGGTAGTTTCTGCACCATTTATGCACGCGCCATGATGTCTTCATCCAAATAATGGCTATACAAGACACAGCAGATCTATTTAACATTTATGAATCTTTCAAAAAAGGATCTGCAATGTTATACCTCGATCCTTAGTAGCAATTTTAACCTTAGGCCTCACCTGATAAATTAACTTGTCGATTGGTGAGGTGGACACTACTCGGAAATCCACTACTTTGTCATGGCCAGCCTTCCAAAGACAAAAAATACAAGACGTCAGATTCTTTTTATTTTCTTCAACACAAAATATGAGCATCACAGTCTTCTGTATACCGGGGAATTCCCGCTGCAGTATGATTTCCGCTTTTTTTGTCCTTGCAATGAGGGCGAAATAATCATCACAGCATTAAGCAATAAACAACATGATATACCTAGTAATTAAACGTGCAGGGCGAAATTTAAACTGGGCTAATATGGATTATACCGGCGAAGGGCGAACATTTCCCGGTATACAGTATGTGAACGTTGAAACAAATATTTTGTAAAGACAAACAATGTGATTGACATGGAATCAAGAATAACTCTAGCTGCGGGTATGTGTTTTGCATGATATGGAGACTCAAACATAATATATTTTGGAATTATTTTGCAGAATAAATTTGCTAAATTTGTTCTGAATGACGAATGACCAATGATATAGCTTGATTTCTGAATGGTAAATTATACTACGCAACAGTGAAGATACATATCAAGTAAATACTTTGTCGATTTTTTGTCTTAATTCATTATTTAAAAAAAAAAGTTTTGATCAAATTGTTATCATTTTTTCATTGTTAAGATTTATAGAAACTTAGTATACTAATTAACCCAAATAGGACGTATTAAATAATATTTCACATCTTAAAATGTCCTTTGTCTTAAAATATCAAAATGCGAAAGACAAATCCTTATATCGCATGGAAGGTAGAAATTTAACTCACCTGTAGGTTATTTGACTCCAGGAATATCTGCATGAAGCTGTCCGAAGGAGAATAGCTCCTTTGCACGGATTGATATTGCGTAATTTGGCCATACTTAAACTGAAAAGAATTTATAACAGATTTTTACAACACAATTAAAAATTGACCCGAAAGTTCAATGTAATAAGAAAACATTTTTGTCTTCAGAATGTAAAAGGAATATCATATATCACATATTCATTTAAGATCGAATTTAGAATACATTTATGACGTACGAAGTACTTGATAATATGTTAAATTCAAACATTTTTGCAAGGCATCCTAGGGTCCCAGGTGAAATTTCGCAAGTGCCATTTGCAACTGGGATCGGGAATGGTAGATAAGTTGCATTTAATAAATATAGATACGTGCTGACTCTAATGACAGAGATGTTTTGCCTAAGAGTGTGAAATGTCATCCCATTTGAATTATACTTTATTAAGACTATAAATTTAGGCAGCAATCGTATTGTTTATGACTGACATTGACCAATTGTTGGCATCATCGATATTATGAACTCATTATGTAACATTGGCTACCTCTTTCTCTTCCTGGACAGTGGCTGTTCCATGAACATACATACATATATGTACATTGCATATGTTATTCATTTGCACTAAAAACTGACTTTTAATCAGTTTATTTTATATAGTTACAAGTAAATGCAAACATTCAATTGATTTCAGTAGGAAATTGCAATTAATATGTGTGTCGGATTGAAACTTATTAGTGTTATATTATATGTGATATATGATATTAGTTTCCGTTTCATGGTAGGTGTCATTTGTTGATATTAAATGTCAATAGAATACATTTTATTTTTTGGAAATATGAAAAGTTCCCAGTTTCATCGGATGTTGAAAGTATCAAGATAGATAAAACTGAGTTATATATGACAATAACCCAAATACTGTAGCAATAAATTATTGTTCAGATTATCAGTTTAGGAAATATTCGATGATATTAGCATAATGTCCCTAAACAAAAATAGTACTGTAGTGGTTATATACACACAACATAGAGATATGAAAGTAATTTGTACCTTTAAGGAAATACTGGTTGCATTGTGTGGAATGTCGATCTTAGCCTGGACAAGTCCTGTATATGTGAGAGTGAAGTTCTGATCAGGCAGTTGATAGTTCATGGTTTGTGGACCATAATAATACATAGGTGTAGTTGTCTCAGGCAGGTTGGCTGTTACGCTCGTTTGTACGATCAACGACTTGTTTGAGCCCGCGGCCAATGGCATGTCATCTTGTTGGACCACTTTGGCCTACAAAATAATACACATGTAAATAGAGGAAAAGAAAAAGAGAAACGAAAACTCACCTACAAGCAAACCTGCTCGAGAGACCACCTCTTTAAAAAAGCACCTATGATAAGCGAGCACTTCATATATTTTCAAAAGGTAGTTTTGGAACGCAGGCTTGAGTTAGTTTATTTGTGATTAGAAATTTCCCTTTCCCTGTATTTGCTAAAGCCATGTACATGATACATTACGAGTCCATTCAAATAGCATGTACTCTTTTAAATCACTACTATTGATTGTTATCTAAATATACGATACGTCATCACCTGCATCGTGAAAGTGAAAAGCGCATTCTGCTAATCAGTATTGACGTACTTCCCTCTGTGTTACAAAGTCCCTTTAGCTCTCACTTAAAAAACGCACTGAACAAGTAATACGTAATCAAAGGCTCGACTCCGATTAGTGCCACTTGGATAAAGTGGTCTATGACCTACTCCGGAATTTGTGTACCCAATACAATAATCTATTTAGCTTGATCTCAAATATGTGGTTACACTTTGAGGATGCAAGGACTACGTCGTTCTAGGAGGAAGCATAATGATAAAATGGTGAATTGTCCATTAGCTAACTTAGCTAGAGGGAGTTTCTACATATATTCTATCAGAACTGTACTAGGCTTTATGACTCACACAACTAAATCAGCCAATCAGCAAGTGTTACATACGATTGTAACCCCTATGTAAAATTTGTCTCCGGTCAATACAGTGCCTCTGAGTAATCAAAATAGGTAATTGTTGACATATTTTACATTGAATGAAAACTGCAGATATTGAACTTTAGAAAAATGTATAGTTTTAGTAGATTTTAAAATGTGATGGTGGGTTGATATGGGTTCAAATGTCAGGGGGTGTTCCCGTCCCATTTCACCAGTTTGGCTTGTAAACTTCCGGTTGTCAAAAGCAGACACCTGTAGCGCTCTTATATGCCACCAAACTCACCAAAAATGCATTTTGAATCCTTTGACATGTATGAATCTGTAAATGTAGACAGTTGTCACTAATATTTTCAAATATTAACGCTATTAGCTCAAAAGCCTAGTAATAACACATTGTAAATAATTTAGCTGTGTGAGCCCTTTAAACACCTAGTTTCAGACTAGATTTCTAGCTTACACATTAAAATAGTAAACTAAGTTACACTTACATAAGCAATGTACTGAAGACCAGGCTTAAATGTTGTAGGGTTAGACGGAAGAAGTTCTAACTTCTCGGCGTGGGTGTAGAAATGCATCTTACTAGTCCCGTCGAGAGTAATCTGTGTAAGACTCTCTGTAACGTTGGCCTCTACCACGACGTTCTGGTCGTTCAGTGAGGTATAGTGGGTGTAACCGGTCAGTCCCCACACAGGCAGAGTAAACTTGGCCTCCCCGTTGATCTAAACACATTATTATATTATTATATTTTTTTTTTTTTCATAATACGCTTATTATAGAAAATTATAAAATAGAAAAGCATTTCATTAATAGTGAATAAAACTGTATCTTAAACTGACAAACTGGCAAAGCGAATTGGAAAAATGAGCTAGAGCACATAATTCCTTCTTCTGTAAAAGTTTACGGAAATATCTGAATATGTAACCGACTAACGCGTCGCTACACTAAGATAATACTTCTTAAATACCATAATAATTTAACTTTTTAAGTAGATACTAATACGCAAATATCGTTTTATAATTACTGAAATAACGAACGACTTACGTCCATTGTCAGTTCCATGGTTGGGATAGCTGGCGAATGATAGTATTGAGATTGGTAAAAGTCAACGTGGACTCGGATTTTCACAGTTCCATTCACCGGTTTTCCATAGGTATACCTGTGACAACAGGGAAAAGATTCATTGTATAAGAAACATCAGGCATTGTTAAGTGATCCAGGTTGAAAGTTTACTGAAAATCTTGAAATTATAAAAACTGACGTGGTACAAAAACAGTGTCAAAATAAGGAGAAGAACAAGAAAAGGCCAATTAAGGATCAGAACAAAACCAAGGGCCAACTGGCCATCCCGTATATAAAGCGATATCGAAAATTATCTAGAGGATTTATCGTGGTCATGGCAAAGCAGCAGGCATGAAGCCCCACAAGGCGATTCGTAATATCGTACAACAATCTAAGGATAAAACACCTAGAGAAAACGTCGCAGAATACGTATAAAAAATCGGATGCAAAAACTGCGACGTATCATATATTGGAGAGACTGGTCAACACCGGAAAGATACGGAAACCCAAGAAGGTAGGGCATTCACCAGATCAGAAAGAAAGCATACGGAGTCTCAGATAAATAAACCGCCAATCACAGACCATGACACACATAAAAACCATGTGATTGACTGGAATAACTCCAAAGTTTTGGACAGTGAGAATAATCTGTTCAAGCGGCAGATATAAGGAAGCAATCTGGATACGCCACAGTGGGCCAGTTCTGAATAGAGATGAGGGGGCTCATAGACTCTCGCACATCTATGACCAAGTATTAAACAAAGCGGAGCGGAATCGAGTAATTTTGGTACATATTTAACAACTATTGTACATACCCCTACAGCATAGCCGAATCGACATGTTAAACCTTTGTGTGCATACGCTTCACTGGTTATTTGTCTGATTAAGGTTACAGTGTACATACCGTACTAGNACTAACAAACATGCAGAAAATGTTTAGAAATATCATATTCAAAGATATTAATACTGACAATAATGTAAAAGAGTTGGCTAGGCTTATCTATTGAGTATCAAATTTACATGTGTTAAAACTACCGTTTTTGGTGTTAAGATATGCACAAATTTACGATAAGATTCGAATGACGATGAGAAAGTAATACTTTGAGAAAACAAACCAATTACTTCTATAAAATATTCATGTATTATAACATATGATGAAAAAGTCAATTTTCCACCTGTACGTTGAAAAATAAATAAAATGGATGAAATCAAAATTAGCAAAATTTACCGACATCTGATCTGTGCTAGTTACTGAAAAAATGTAAATAGTTTGCTATAACGGTAAAGCAGTTCTTCAAAGACATTTATGAAATTTGTTTAAGACTAATATCGCACAAATTCAAATAGGTAAAACACACAAAGGCAAAGGTATATCCTACTGTTATTGAAAACGAATTTTGGTCAAACATAGGAGTGAAAAGGTTCCCAAGTAATTCCTAAAAGCATGGCAAAATCTTCACTATAACACATATTACGGTTGTAGTAATTATAACTTGATTTTAACTTCAGGTAGCATGTATCCTTTAATTTATTTCGTATCCATATCTTGAACTTTGATATTGGGATAAGGTGTGCCAGATTGGATATATCTGTATGACTCAAAAGCATCACACTTACTTTGCCTTCACAGTTCCTTTAATGTCTGTTGCTGACGTCAAATCGTACGACGGCAAGTCAACGGTCACTTCGAATTTCGGTAAGACTAGAATCAGAATAAGGTTTACAACATAAAAATGTCTTTTGTCAGGCCACGTCAATTGATATCGGAGTACTTTCACTTCTACGAAGTTTAATGATATGCCATTCTTCCACAATCGTCCCTGTACATTAAATTTTAAAAATCACCCATTTAAGGGAAGAAGTGTTTGCCAAACACACGTGCCAATTAAAACATTGAATTACATCTTCATTCGTGTGTTTTGTTTAAAGTCAGAACTATGGAATGTAGCGGTTCTACAACCTCCCTTCAAATTCATCATAAAAATTTAGGTCTTGTGTTTTTTACCTTGATCTTAGACACGTTTTGTAACTCCTGCTTATGTCACTTTCATATTAGAGACTTAATTTTACGTTTTTAAACCACTGACAAAATAACAGTTTGAAAGTGACCTTTGACTTTTTCCATATGTATCTTTCATATGTCTACTTCACATCGTAATTACAATTATAGCTGGAGTAGTGAATTTCCAGTGCGTGTAAAAAGAAATAATTTTTTTTCAAATAATTAAATTAATAACTCTGACTTTTAACCATTAGCCGTATGTCTTGGTGATTATCCATCCTTATGTTTTAGTGTATATGTCAGTTTCCCAGTGGTTTTTAATAGCCACAATACCATGAAGTTTCGGGTTAAAATAGTTCAAGTCTAAGGGGTCATCGTTTACAAATCAAGTAACAATAGCAAGTACCACTAAACTATATCAATTAAATAATGACAATTCTTCATTTGTTCTTTCTAACCTGTTCCGATTTAATTATTTGAAAAAAGTAGATGCGATCACATGAGCACTACTTACCATAGTGAGCAACTGTAAACATCTTGTCTTTGGTCAATCCCTGAACAGATGTCGTCAAATATATCTCAGTATAAAATAACTACTAATGATCTATGGAATGTTCTATATCACAAAATAAGAAAATAAATACATGATAATATTGCATAATCTTTTCAGAATAAAAGTCTTTATGTAGAGCTAAAATGTATCAATATCAAACGTGTTATTCAAGCGATTCTTAACTCCATAAAAAAAACCTAATGTTTATTCTAAATTTGCGAATATATAGAAAAGCGACAAAGTAATATTTCTAATAAATAGTATGTTAATATTTTCTCGAGTATATAATGTATGAGATAATCTTGACATGTACCGTACACATTACTACATTATCACATTAGTGCGTATGTCCTATACAAATTGCCTTTCTGGTGTCATATTAAGACCCTACGCGGAACAAAAACAACATTATACAATATTTATAACATGTTTTGCCTGCTTACGTGTGTCTTGACACGGATTTTCCAGTCTCCCAGTACCGGTTTCGTGTCCATTGCCATAACATTAGTAAGTACCCCGCTGGCGTCTTTCAGTCCAAACCATTGCTTAATTTTATTGCTGTTGGGATCCTTCGTAAATAAGCATATATAACGATATATGAACACTCGGTTGGTCAACATATCACGTATAGTATGCACAAAGCACCAAATTCTATATTCTTAAAGTTTGTTTTATGTCACCTGACAAGTATGCTAAGGTTATTGGAAGATAAACCTTTATGGTTTTTTTACTTTAACAATGAACATTTTCGTGGGTCAATGTAGTAAAATATAAGTTAATAGAAATACTTCAAACTAGTAATGTATTGATAATCGAAAATAGCTTCAGCCTCAATAGTATGATATATATGAATTGTTACTAAGTTTTCAACTAAATCATGCCATCTGCATTTTGTTCACATTGGCCTTAAAACCATTAAGTAATTCAATTAAATAATTACAAGTTACTTTAAATATATAAATATCTTTATATCACAGAGATTATTTTATGCTATTTCCGCGGTACGCAGAATTTACTATAACATATATATATATCAATATCAAGTCGCTTATCGTCGATGTGCAATATCAACGCCATACACAGCGTTTACAGCATATTACTTATAAACGTGTTGCGAAACATACCTAATGCAGATAGTTATTTATAATTTACATGAACGAAATGGCTATTGAACATTTCATACATTAGTACCTGAAATCTTTGAAAATATACACATAAAAAACCACAAGACGGAATTTTGAGATTGTAACTCACGTAAATCTCAATGTCCATGGGCCCACTGTAAACTGTCAAATTGGGATAAATGGCGAATGTTCGGAAATTGACTGAAATGACAGATGTTATGAAATGAATAATTTCTGAAACAAATACCAGCAAAGGCATTATGTTAAACAGAGTACACCAGTGTCAATATATGTTTCAAACATGAAGGCATACATCTATTGCTAGAAGAAACTTAAAATTTGTGGCTCATGTGTATGCGATGAATAGTCATTTTTTAAGTGTGATTCTCAGTATAAAGTGTTTCTTTTTGTCAAAGAAACATTTTGTATGCGTTGTAATTTGTGTTGTTTATGAAAAGTGAATAATAGAAAAAATATCTTCAAATCAAACTCGTCTCGTTTGTCGGTGAGGTGATCATGATTGTATATGTGTAAGCAAATGCCGGGGGTATGAAGCAAAAACAGAACTTTTAAGGTTATTTAATATCAAATGGGGTATAAAACATTCGCAGGTTTCTTTTTGAATTTCTTTCTTCAAAAAAATAAGTATATCTGAATGTGAAATTTAGGAATCGAGCTAGTGTCTTCTCGTATATCTACTTTTTAGGTGACACCAGTCATGTAGAATCAGCCACAACTTTTCTCCATTGGAATAACGGTAATCTTGTTAAAATATCCCCACCAAATGAAATAATATATAATTCAATCCAAGCATTAAGAAATCCGGTGCATATTGTGGAGAAGTAATAAGTTAAACAGAAGTTATTTCTGGCAGACGGTGCCTCAAGGCTTTCGAGAATTATTGAAAATCCACAATAAACAGGAACAGAGTCATGGTTTGTTTTAAGTTCGTTTTGTTTTTAAAGTGTGGTTCAAAGTCTTGAAAACGTTGTGGTTGTAATGATCTTTATTTTTTATTCACAGTGGTTGGCAAATAGCTCGTCTCTATAACGTGTCAGTGTGCTATACATACAGTCCTTCCATACCATAAAGTTAAAAACAACTCGGCAAGCTTACCTGTTTGGCCAGGTTTGTACATGGCTTTATCCGTCTGTATAAAGATAGACATGCCCTTGGAAGCGTAATGAAGATTTGTTTTGTCTGTGAAAGTGAGACCATTGGAACCTTCAACTGTAAGCTGGTACGTCCCGCTTGGAATCGTATCTGGGACCTAGAATAGTGATACAAAACAGGGTTTATCAACATCATACAAGTTGATATTAAATTCACAACAAGCCATAATGCTTAGTCTTAACAATAGATGATAGTTCATTTTATCGAAGAATTGTCCACTATAAAATGTATCTTTTTTTCTCTCGGAAAACTTTCGACAAATTATTCACACAATAAATGGTTTATTTTCTAATAACAAGTGAAAAGAATGCTTACCATAATTCGCATGGTGTCAGGGACATCTGAAAATCATTTACATGTTTCTTTTATTTTTGATGCATGAACATACAGGGTAAATGAAAACAACCGCTTATTTCTGAATTGAAGTCATTAATTTTCCTATGACACAAATAAATGTAGTTTTGATATATTTATGATAATAACAGTATACTGCTCAGGAAAAGAGTTTCAGTTTCCGAAAAAGGGACTTCCCGAATTGTTAATCAAAACAAACTAACACAAATAAATGTAGTTGTGATATATTAATGATAATATCAGTCTACTGGTTAGGAAAATGGTTTCAGTCTCTGAAAACGTCCTTACCGAATGGTTAATCAAAACAAACTTTAAATCGTACTGGAAATTATTTTCGAGACTGCAACTCAACTAAGCAATGAACTTTTCTAATTAGAAAACCGACTTCCGAAAATATCGGAAACCAATTCTCAAAACTGTCTTTGGGCCATTTGTATTTTTCAACACAAAAGAAACTGTCAACTTGGTGTAAAATATCTAAATTTAAATAAATATCTAGTCACGCAGACTGAAGTATGATGGCTACATACGTTGTTGGAAAGTTGCAGACGAAGAGGCTTTCACTGATTTGTCGGTCACATGGATGAGTTTAGCTGTAACGTGCACATCGCCAGTCGCGTGTAGAATATTGACACTGATGTTCAGGGGCACTCCCGGGCGGACGTCTTTAGGCGTAATAACGACATAAGTGCTAAAAGATAAAGATACTTGTATTCTATTATCTTTTTATTTTGCATGATGTTAACATTTATTACATCCATATTGACAATCAATCAACCCATAGTTTGTATAAAGTAACCCCTCTTAAAGATAAAGACAGTGCATTACACATTTTACTTGTGATAAGTGACAAAATTAAATGTAACGTTTCTGCCTCAATATTGATTCTTTAATTTTCTAAAACATATTCGTCCAGATTTGCATTAGCGATGTCTAACGTAATATTTATAAAAGATCATTTGCATGTTTGTAAATCATGTTTCTTTTCACAATTGATTTAATTTGATTTCTCCATATAAAAATGTAAACTGAAACTGACATTATATATTAAGTAATCTCCAACAGCAATAAAACTAGAAAGAGGAATAGAGAAAAGATAACATAACCAGGTATTCTATATACTCTGAAAGGGTAGCGTGTATCTAGACCTTCAGTTTTTTTAACAAAAAGGATCGAATTCTTTTTATTAAAACCAGAACCAAAAATGTATATTTTATCAATACGGTAAGGCTATTAACATAACTATATGAATCATTCAATTGTTTTACAAGACATAAATCTGTGCAGTTTATCTCGACTTCCGTATTATTCAGCTGAATAAATATATGATGTATTCATAAAGAACAACACACTATAATGTACATCTCGAAAATATGATTAAATATGTTAGTGTATTCTATAGTCAGAAATAGTACATAGTAAGGGCTTAAGATTATTTAGATAATGAAATATATCTTTTATTTATTATAATCATAATACAATGATTAAATTTGGTACACATTGACAAGATGCTTAGAATATATACCCTTTTACGTTTTTATAACTACAAATAATTTTGTGTAATTAGAATACCATTTTTAGAATTACTTTTATAACAAGAAATACTTGTGTACACTTATGTACACATAAGCATTGTACCTTGTACTAGATAACGGTATTTTGTTTTGTATAAGTACAAGGTAGTTGATTATTTTATTGATCCAATTTCATAAAGACGATGTCTTAATAATACTAATCTAGACCGAGGATCAAACGGAATTCAAGTTCATTCTAGCTGGACATAGAGTCGACAACTATTTTTATCAAGAGACTACTGTATACTGGATTGGTGAAACATATGCCATCTAAGTAACTGTTTGTTTTTAAATATAGATAAATCAGTGTAGGTAAATGATTCATCTTTATTATAACTATGGTATGTTTTAATCATGGAGTAATTCCCGACTTGATTTCTCTTGGTGTGAAATAGTTCATTACGCCTTAAATCTCCCTGTCGTTTACTCTCAAAAATGAAGACTGGACGAGATGTTCAGAAGATCAGTTAAAGCCGATTAACACTATTAAAACTATTTTTTGTAAAATCGTATATGTTGTTGATCCAAGAACAGCCAATAACGCATCATATGGAAATAAATGATTTGTTTTTCTCGTTTTCTTAAGAAATTAAATTGCTCCATGTCCCAATAAATTAATAAGAACTGTCATTTGTTATATAACACTGTTTTATATTAATATTAAACATAATTAAAGATAAACCCTGCTGCCAGATGATTAAAAAAGAGTTCATCAATTCCGAAGTAGCTATCTTTATGCAATGTTATTGCAGCTTAAACATTTTAGACCTGATCAACTGCCTATATGATTAACTGTTTGTAAATACATTGTAAGTTACTTTAATTAGACAATACCAAAACATGTAATGACAGAAATGTTATTCATTTGTTCTATCATAAAATATTAAAATATTTAATTCCGAATAAATAAAAAAAAAATGAAAAAAAAAAAATGTACTTACTCTTTAGCCGCAGCTAACCCCAGCAAGAGGGTTATTAAACCGGCCCAAAGCATTTTTATCTGAAACGAATGCATAATAAATATTTTAATAAATATACACAAAACATATCAATGAGTTCATTTGGTTAAACAAAAGAAAATAATTGCAATTGATACTATTTTTCAAAGTTGCGTAAAATTTCTGGAAATTTTTCACTTTTGCTTTTGATATTAATATTTATATAGAAAATATACAATAGACGGAGATACATATGTAGTACTGAATTCCGTTATTCTTAATTTTCATTGCACTAGTGAAAATCAAATATTTAAAAGTGTTTAAGTCAGTATGAGGATACCTGACAATCAAGACGCCTTACCTGTGAAGTATTCCCTCTGGATGACCAGGGAAAAACAGACCTCGTTGTATTTATACTCAATCCCACGTAACAGGGTTTATAACGTGCTGATTGGCAAGTGCGTTCTGCAGAGTCTTCATAAAAAATTAATCTTTATCTCAACAGCTCGCTCTTACGTGGTGTTCTGTCACCTCTGATGAGCCCTTATCTATTCCGTCACTGTCTGGAAACGTGTGGTCCTCGTTTTAACAGCCACTGAATACCACCTTTGTCGGGTTGTCGAGAAATACTTATATAGACCCAATGTTAGAGTATATTGCCAAGCCTGTTTTCAGCGACCATCTTCGGTTAGTCCATAAATTTATATAGAGTTTAGGTGGTCTCTTGATACAAGTTCAATCAAAATGAAAATTCGAAGCAATGGTGATTTTTCAGTAGTCTTTTAACACAGTTGATCTATTAATCGAGTTGGTCTCTTGAGCAGGTTTGACCATACTGTTAAATAGATCGAGAAATATATTTTCTTTTTCAATCGGAAAGAATCGACCATCATTACCAATTCTAATTTCTATTCATACACTTTCACCTTTTTTACAATAAATATAATGTATATAAGCAGTATTTCTTCATTTCAAATACTCGTAAATACGTCGACTGAAAACAAACGCAAAATAATTAAACAATATAGATTTGAGAAGAGACCGATAGAAGAGGAATTGTTATCCATAAATATAAGATTTAAGTTTTTTTTCAAAACCTTCTGAAATCATGTATGTTTGATAAATGTGTTTGATCATAAATATCTTGATAAAACAAAAGACAATATCAATAGAAAAATGCATATTTTTTGTCATAGGAATGAAATGTAAATAGTAAATCACTTTAAATCATTTTACACTGATGAATTACAGACCGTACGTCACTTTTTATCATTTAAAACATATTTAGTACAACTCAAACAATAGTTTTACTTACTCATGCGTAGGTATTATCGTATTTTTATTTGTATTAATTTTGGTTTTGTGATGTTTTTTCTTTGTGCTAAATTTCCTTATTTTAGAGTATATAGACAGATTCGATATATCTACAGCTGTCTATGGTAATTATTCTTTATATAGAATCTTTTAGAAATAAAGACTAGGAAGACATATTAACAGTGAAGATTAAAATATGCTCAAGATTTAGGTTGATAGCGGATTGATGACTGCAAACTGAGATAGCTGATGAAATCATTTTTGTTTTGAGTCGTGTCTAAGTTATAAAAAGAGCTTACAAATTGTAACCAATACTACTATTTTCTTTCTTTCCTATTTCAATTATTTAAATGAAAACCATTTATCAATACAACACAAACAACAAACAGCTTTGAAGATTTCTTTTGCTGTTTTAAAATTTCAACTTTTGATAATATGTATAAGCTGCAAATACATGTACTGAAAATTGATGTAACTGGTCCCTAAGTGCTGCTTTGTCGTTGTCCCATGTTATCTAAATTGTCAATGGAATATTTAAAATTGACATCACATTGCTAAATCGTCATTGGTGTAATTAAAAAATAAACAACACTATCAATATGTACTACATAGGTTTTACGATAGCCAAGGTGAAAAGGTACACAACTAGAGATAAGACCGACATAGTCCCTGTGTGTTCAACAGCCCACTTTATCAATAATATTTATGTAAACCTGTCACCAGTGCTGAATCACAAATCCAATTCTTCAGATTATAACGGGGTTACATCAGGGACAAAATACTGTAACACAGTACTAGAATAATTTTAAAAGAAAGGTGGGGAGAGTTCATTCAAAATCATTTATGTTATGGACAAGTTAGTATTGAATAAACAATAATAATTATGATTTTAGTTTCTTGTTTACCGCTTTATCACAGCAGGTCGTCTCACCGTGGTCCACAAATCATTAGCCGTGGTCATTGTGCTGATGTAATTGACGTCTTATTGTTCCGGTGTCTCTTGAATTCCTTTGCCGTTTTATTTTGTTCTCATTGACATTACAGTGTGTTAAATATTTGACAACCGTATCAACGTTGAAGTTAAGATCAAATTAAGGTTAACTTTCATTATTTGTGAAATTCTAGTCTCTGTTGCTTATGAAGGTTATATGGCATTCGTTTTGACAGGAAACATGTTTCAAGAAAATGCTGATACTAAACCTAATCAAAGTTAGAAAAAAGTATCTGTTATGTCAACTCCATAAGCAGTGGATGTAAAGATGGTATAACTGGAAAGTCACTGGTCTTGAAATAGCAGAAGGCCGGAAATTTGCTACTGAAGAAAAAATATGAACGATAGCTGAATCAAAGCCATCACTTTTGTTACAAGGCTTGTTAGGAGACACGGTAGTATAGTGGTTGGACGCCGGGCTCGTGACCAAAGGGATCCGGGTTCACGTCACGGCACGGTACGGCACTGTGTTGTATCTTTGAGTAAGATACTTTATTCCACTTATTCCAGTCTAATCAGCTGTAAATGAGTACGTGGTTGGGCAGTGCTAGAATTGTAGAATGCTAGCTGTGAGCGCCGAAATGGCAGCACCGGCTGTATGCTCCCTAGGGAGTTTAGAAATATATTGGCTGGTTGCAAAGGCCCTATAGGGACCACGGAACCAAATCAAAAATAGAATGTGGGTGTTTCCCGTTTGGGCAGAAGATTTAATAGGAAAGTTAATGCCTCGGGGCCTGCTGGTTGGATATTTAGATGGCAGAAGTTTCAAAAGGTTTATGTGTGTGTTGAGCAATATATATAGATGTGCTATGCATAGAAATAAAAGTCTGCTTTTGTCTGGGTGAGTTTATTAAGTGTGTAATTTGTTGTACATTTTGGTCGTTGTTTGATGCCGAATTCAATACAAGATGGCGGCCCCCTTTTAATCATTTTATTTATAGTTGTGTGAGATGATATTCCTCAAAATGAGGGCAGTTAAACCAGTGTGGATAATCCCATTTAACCAGGACAGTGGAAAACGTTAACACTATCGTCTATGGAAAATCATTTGGTTCTGCGGTCCCTATAACAACGGATAATGATTTGTGAACCGGTTTGAGACGACATACTGACTAGGTTGTGATAAAGCGGTATATAAAAACCTCCAATATTTATAATTATTGAGGTAACAATTTGTGCAGTCCTGTAAGTTAATGTCAGGATATGAAGTTGAAGAAGAGTATCTTTATTTAACAAGATTTCGATTCAATATGCTGTTCTATGATAACGTTGTATCGTATTTTGATTTCCTTCCATAACTTGCAACATGTAAAAAGATATGTATAAAAATGTATGCGTAACCTGTTACATATACAGGCATTTGAATCGGTAAGCCCTGAATTTTCTTTCTTTTCTCTTATGTGTTTGTTAAAAGTGTTATTCCGCTATTATATGTGCATGTATACATGCTGCTTGAAACTATAATAACTTAGTACTTTGTACATAGTGCTTCCTCTGGGTTTTTCTTCTTGTTGATTTAGGCTGATTTCTCGACGAAATATCATCTTTACTCATTTAATCATTTGATGACAAAGGCATAAGTGATATATTGGTTCAACACTATGCAGTGACCTAGAAACGCGCAAGATAAGGGGAGTTGTTTATCACCGTTAAATAACGTTAGTGCTTTGCTTGAAACTAAATCATTTCAAGATTTTCATGTTTCCCTTTATACATTGGTGCCTGTAACTAATAATTAATGTTCTGGATTGAATGAAAACATCTGAATTTTGGATTATAGCAATCAGTAACAATTTGCTGAATAATTTTACAAGAGATATGGCCATTGCTTTCATATCGTTTGAACCAAACGAACCCATCAACCCAAGAAAATAATATGACCCGTGCCTCCGATCAGAAGCGTATATGTTATATATAATAATATCTGTATCTGTACATGTATTGCAAAGTTATATACAGTGTTACACCTTTAAATTTAAGCAACATTTATATGCAGTGCTAATTGCATTTATCTTGAGAGTATCATTGAATTTTGAGATTAAAAAAATACACTTTTTTTCTTTATACAACATACATAAATCATCTCGATCAACTCCCGTAGCCTCCTTGATCAAGTTCAAGGATAAATTACTTACGAGACTTGAACACGCTGATTTGTCAGATGAGTGAAATGAAAGATTTATTTTCTGCAAGACATAAATCATCTCGATCAACTCCCGCTCTACTGGTCCAGCTGATGACTTGTCTTTAGTTCGGAGTCTCCACAGGTCCAGCTGTTATCTTGTCTTTTGTTCAGCGTCTCCACAGGTCCAGCTGTTGTGTTGGTTTTTGTTCGGTGTCTCCAAAGGTCCAGATGTTGTGTTGTCTTTTGTTCGGCGTCTCCACAGGTCCAGCTGTTATCTTGTCTTTGTTCGGCGTCTCAACAGGTCCAACTGTGGCCTTTTATTTTGTTCGGTGTCTCCACTGGTCTAGCTGACGTCTTGTCTTTTGTGCGGCGTCTTCACAAGTCCGGCTGTTGTGTCTTTTGTTCGGCGTCTCCACAGGTCCAGCTGATGTCTTGTCTTTAGTTCGGCGTATCCACAGATCCAGCTAATGTCTTGTCTTCTGTTCGGTGATTAATGGTTGATTATATTTCTAGCATAACAAATAGCCTTAGCCTGATGCTAAAATAATGCAGTAAAATGCAAAAACAGAAATTTGTGATAATGAAACAGTTATAATGTACCTTGTCTGACCTTGCCTTTTATGCTATTAACAGTGACCTCATGTACATACAAAATTATGTAGTTCTCAAGATTGTATAGTGCTAGCTACCTGGTATATAGGTTGTAGATCAGATATTTTTTGTATACATTGTATAATGAATATATGAGAGAAAAAATACTTTCTCTATTCAACACTATTTGGTTGTTTATTTCTTACATTTGTGGTTACATTTGTGGTTGGAATTTGAGAATCAAGTAATAATTAAACGACTTAACTGAAAAGAAATCTGAGACAACATAAAAATTAATTACCGATATATGTGAACTTTCATGTTTGGAAGTAAGTTGTATATTGAAGATCAATTCCTGTTGAAGTTTGGCAAGATATTT